GCTTAATTTTATTATGAACCTAAAACTGCTCTAAACATAAAATTTTATTTAAAAAATAATAACAATGACTATTTTGAGAATATTGAGATAAGGCAGATCTAGTCAGTATGCTAATACACCAGTCAACAACATCTAAGGGAGGAGAGAACAGATAGTAGTCAATGCAAATGGAAGTTTTTATAGTGCTCAGGAGGATGGGAATATTGATTATAGAATTTATGTCAAGAATGCATGATAAATTTGTGGAGAAACTGGATCTCTCATACATCACTGATGGGAATGTAAAATTATAAAACAGTCTTGCAGTTCCTTTCAGAACTAAAAATGGACTTACCACACAACCCAGCAATTACATTCTTGGGCATTTATCCCAGAGAAATGAAAACTTATTTTCAGGAAGAATTTGTACATGAATGCTTATAGCAGCTTTATTCGTAACAGCCCCAAACTGGAAACTACTCAAATGCCATTCAATGACTGAATGGTTAAACAAACTGTGATGTATCCATACCATGGAATACTACTCAGCAATTAGAATTGAATGAACTATTGGTACAGCAACCTTGGATGAACCTGAAGGAAATTTTGCTGAGTGGGAAAAAAAGTTAACTTCAAAAGTATACATACTTCATGATTCTACTTATATAATGTGTGAAATTATATACAGATGGGGAACAGATTAGTGGTTGCTGTGGATTAGGAATGGGGTGGAAGAGAGGATAGTGTATCTCTAAAGGGGTTACATCAGGAAGTCTTAGGGTGATGGTACAAATGAGTATCTTGATGGTGATGGTTACACGCTCACACATACACAGACTTTAGTGTGTGTATGACCAAGGAAAGATGAATTTGTTGGTTTTGATATTCACTCTAGTTGTATAATTTGTTCACATGGTGAGTGTGGCCAGAAGGATGTACTTGTACAATTCATTGCAACCTACTTTGAATCCATAATAAAAAAAGTTTTAAAGTTAATATAATTATTAAAAAAGTGGACATGAGATTTATAATTTTCTTAACAGAAGAGTAGGGAGAAAAGAGAATAAAGAGAACCCAACTAATTCTGAGAGAATGTAGGAAAGAAGAAAGGAGAACTCTCTTGCAAAGAATAAGCAAGATACCCTGGGTTCAATCCCTGGTACCAAAAAAAAAAAAAAAAAAAAAAAGAATAAACAAGATAACTATACACACACACACACACACACACAAATAGTAGACATAAATGAAAATATATTGATAGTCCCTTGGCAATTGAGAGACAAAAGCAGTCCAAAGTTTAGTAAGAATATTGAAGATTTGATTGATGGAAGTAGAATAGATATAGAAAACGCAGGTAGAACATCTGTAATTTTAACAATTAAATGCTTTGCTTTTTAAGCATACCTTGGGCACTTACAAAACATGACCACACATTACTACATTACAAATTGAATTTTACTTTATACTATGTACTAAATCATAAAGTAAATGCTGATTTAAATGCAGCATGTTTTCTAACCACAATGCTATAAAATTAGACACTAGTAAAAATGTGATAACCAACACCTCATTCATTTAGAATTTTAAAAAACACCCTCTGAATAAATAAATCCCAGATAAAAGCCATAAAATATTTAGAACTGAATGATAATCATTGTACATGCCAAAACTAGGCATGCAGCTAAAACAGAAGATGTATTCAAAGAGAAAGTATAACTATACTTGCACATATTATTAAATAAGAAGAAAAAGAGAAGCTAATGAGTTAAGAGTTCAAATAAAGGAGTGAAAAAAATGAGTAAACAAAATAAATGTAGTAAAAATCTGGGAATGAAAGAAATATATGTATATCAACTACAGAAAAATGTTATTTTTCTCATGGCAAGTGAAGAGACTGGAATAAACACAACTACATTTGTAGCATTTTTATTTCCTTGAGCAAAAATATAGTTTTATATATAACTTATATGCATAACTTTATTTTACATAGCAACTTTATTTAAATATGATTCACACATCATACAATTCACTCATTTAAAGTGGACAATTTGTTGGGTTTTAGCATATTCATAGAATTATGCAACTGTAATCACAAGGAACTTTAGAACAGTTTATTTCCTTACAAGGAAACCCCACCTTTATGTCGTCTCTCATCCTTACCCACCTTAAACAAGCCATTAATGTACTTTCCGTCTTTATAAATTTGCCTGTTCTGGAAATTTCGTATAAATAGTATCCTCTAATATGTGAACTTTTGTAACTGGATTCTTTGACATAGCACAGACTTTTCAAGTTTCATCCATTTTATAGCATGTATCAGTACTTCATTCCTTTTGATGGCTAAATAAGATTTATTTTGATGTAATTTTTTAATTTGTTCTTTTTAGACATATATGACATTAGACTGTATTTTGACATATTATACATACATGGAGTATAACTTAATCTATTTGGGATCCCATTCTTGTGGAGTTTCACTAGTTGTGTGTTCATATATGAATATGAAAGTTATGTCCGACTCATTCTACTGTCTTTCCTATTCCCTAGTAAGATTTTATAGTATGACCGTACCACATTGTGTTTATTCACTTATCACTTAACAAACATTTAGATCATTCCCACTTTTGGCTATTTTGAGTAACACTACTACTATGGACATTTCTGTACAAGTTTTTGCATTTACATATGTTTTCATTTCTCTTGGATATATAGCCAGGCGTGGAATTGCTGGATCAAATGAAAATTCCATGATTACTTTTTGAGGAACTGCCAGACTGGTTTCCCAAGTTGCATTGCTTTACATTCCCACTAGTCGTGTATGAGGGTTCCGATTTATCTACTCCTTGCTGAGACTTGTTATTATCTGGTCTTTGATTATTGTCATCTTACTTGGTATGGTCATTATAGGCTTTGATTTGCAGCTCTGTAACGATTACTGATGTTGAGCATCATTTCATGTGCTTTTTTGGCCATTTATGTCCTCCTTGTTGAAATATCAATTCGTGTCCTTTGCCCATTTTAAAATCAGGTTGTTGATTTTTGTTGTTGTTGTTGAGTTGTATGTGTTGTGTATGTACTATATTCTGGATATTAGTCCTTACTGCTTTCTATGATCTGCAGGTACTTTCTCCAGTTCCATTGGTTGCCTTTTCACTCTGTTGATAGTCTCCTTTGATGCACAAGATTTTGATCTTGATGATGTCCAACTTACCTATTTTTTTCTTCCATATCATATCAGGAAATCATTGCCAAATCTTGCCACTAATTTTTAAACACCCAGCCGGATGTCATTGGAACTGTTCAGAGAATGATTTAAAGAATTTTGAAGTCAAGTATTTCTATTCAGCAATTTACTTTTACAATTATGGAAGATTTTCATAATTATCCATTCAATGTCAAATTTCTTTTGAATTTTTATTTTCCTGATTGCTGCCAAATGCATTAGATTGTAAATAGAAAGCATGGAAATAGTACATTGTATTGTGATACAATTGTTCCCCATGAGGAGTAGTGATCAAAATTATTGCCAAGTGCCTTTATTAGGAAAAGAAAATTCTTAACTGATTAAAGACCGTGGATATTATATATCAACTATAAAATGAGTTTTCAACTTTTTTTGCTTCAGTGTTTTTAAATGCTGAGTTTCATTTCAGCTTGTATAATAGAGCTCTGAGACTTCAAAGACATTTTGCATTCTGCAAAGGATTTCTTGTGGTTGTAATGTTCATTTGAAATTCAAATAGCTCCTTGGGGTTTGAAGCCTGTGGAAGTTACATGCTGTAGAATAAAAGAAGGAAAGGTCCCTTGTATCATTGCTAATTTATGCTTACAGAAGATATTCTACCTGTGTACTGAGATGGGAGCAGCAAATCCATCTTTTGAAGTCATCAAATAATTCATGAGCTCTCTATGATAAACATCTTGGGCAATGTGTAAGAACTTAATTTTGTAATCTCATAGTTCTTATTTAAACCATTATATAATACTAGCTTGAAGTTAGTATTTATTGAACTTCTTATTTGTATAGTTGGTGATGTAAAAGACTCAACAGAAGCATAAGAATTGGTTCTTCTCCTTCAGAGAATTTGCCTTCTCTTTATAGAGCCTAATGACACTCATGACAATATCAAAGAAGCAAGGGTATTTGCCATGTACAGTCTAAGAAAGTAAAGATGAGTTAGGTGGTCTAAGAAGGTCTCAAGATGGCAGGCCAGGAGGGTAAAGTCCAAATGGAGTGGGCAGAGGAAGGGAACTACACCACCCAGGTGAATGGAGTGGCATGAAGTGTCCCATGTGACCCAAGAGTGGCCTGTGACAGATACCTGGGGCAGGAGAGGCAAGTCAACTATGCCATAAACAGTTGGATGGTCAGGAAGAGGGCTGATTATGGGAGCTAAATAGTAGTTTTGTATTTTATGCAGTCAACTACAAAGAGACATTGACCGGGGGAGTGTGGGAAAATGCAGTGTCTCTCTAGTGGAGCTCCTAGAACTTCAGAGATAAAGGGTATTCTGGAAACATCCAACATCCCCTTTTCACTGAGTGAAATAACTTGTTCAAGGTCACCCATATAGAAAATAGCAGATCTGTATCTTAGATTTTCCTTTAATTACAAGTCCTATGATCTTTCTTTCATCCCACAGTCCTTTAGAATATATTAAAGAGAATAGAAAACGGACCGAAAGCATCAGAAAGAAGTATCAGTGGGAGAAAGTTGGAACTGAGAACTCTTTTCTTTATTTTAGTGAGTGAGGCAAATAAATACCTGTAGAATTCAGAGAAGGACCAAATTATTTCTCAAAAATAGTATTTGATTAAAGTGAAAAACTAATCCTGATTAACCATATCCACATTCCAAACCTACCCTGGCAAATGGATGCTAAGTGAAGCTCAAATGAATGAATGAATGAGTGAGTGAATAAATGAATGCATACATCAACTTAAATTTGTCTCTTTTTTTTAGTAAATATTTTACAAGTACTATTTAAAGTATCATTTAAAGAAAATATTTTCTTTTACAGGTTCACCTTTTTGGAGTTTTGCTGGCTATTTTAGGAAACTTGGTAATCAGCATTTCCCTAAATATTCAGGTAAGAAAAAAAAAAACAACTTATTTTTCTAACTCTGTAGTTTGATCCAGGAACATTTTGTGACTTTGATAAGACTTAGTCACTTTAGCCTTTATGGCTCTTTCTTCCTTAAAACACAATAGGGAAAAATTGTATTTTTCAAACTCATTGGTATAAAGACAAATTTAATTCAGGCTGGATTGCACTAACATATTTTTTCCTTTTCTGATTTTAAAAGAACTTAAATATTTTTGAGGGCCCCTAGTAGTATTGTGGACTGTATGTATGCCATCCATTATAATATATGCCATCCATTCATGTCTAATGGATGAATTACCTGATTTGATTTTTTGGTATCTTGATTTCTTTCATTGGCCTTATCCCCAGATGAAATACAAATGTTTTTTAGAATCAGTTTTAGGGGTACAGGGTTTTCTTTCTTTGTTTAAAATACTGTTAAATATGTCTGTGTGAAATAAAGTTCTAAGAAAGAATACAGTGTATAAAATAGGAACTTCCTCTAAAAGATGAATTAAAATCCTAGAAGAATTGCTGATTTGTTGAACTAAAAACTGAATGAAATATTAATTTTGAACCAAGTCATGAATGAAATAAAAAATTTTGTCTTAATTAGTTTGAAACAGAATCAGTTTCTAAAAATTTTGAATCAAATAAATCTGAACATTGAAATATCTCCCAGAATATTATATAATTTTATACAAACTCTTGCTAGAAAATAGCCTACTAAACTATCAATAATTACTAAGATATGTATTTGTTACTAAAAAAAAATACAAAAATAAATCATTTTCCCTATTGTGTTAATCAGATTTTCATCACTTTGAGAAAATCAACTAATAAAAGAAAGGTTTATTTTGGCTCATGGTTTCAGAGATTTTATCCTTGTCATTTGGATCTGTTGCTTTGGGCTTGTGGCAGCATAGTACATCATGGTGGGAGTGCCTGGAGGAGGCCTGTTCACCATATGGTAGTGAGGAAGCAGACAGAGGAGGAGAGAAAGGGGCCAAGGTCCTATCCCCTTCAGTGGCACACCCTGATAACCTAACTTCCTATGGTAGGCCCTGTCTTAAAAACCACCTCCTAACAGCACCATAAACTGGCAGTCAAGCCTTTCATATCTGGGCCTTTGGGGGACATTCCAGACTTGAACTATGACACTTATTAAAAAAAAAAAAGGAGGAGGAGGAGGAGGAGGAGAAGAATTCAAAGCATATAAAAGAAAAATTGCTCAGAAGTAACCACTATTGATTATGTGTTTTTTCCAAATCAGTTTCTATGCGTAAACAGCATACATACATATATTTGAGTGGGTATTCCAAAATGTATATAACCATCTCTTATTTAAGAACACACTACAGGACAAACAAATTGGCTTTTGCTGTTATAAATAATGATAAAATGAGTACCTATTAATATAAAGATACATGTTCCTTCTATACTTACGTGACTGTTCTGTAGGTCAAAGAGTGTTTTCATTTTAAATATTGCTAGGACCATGCAAATTGATTTCTGTGTGGATTGTACCATATTATGCTCATACAGCAGTTTGGCTGTGACCATTCCCCATATTCTCAATACCACATATCATTAGTTATGTGGTGAGGGCAGGGAATGATATCTGATAGATGAAAATGGTATTTTATTGTTTCAAATTATTTGCATTTCTTTCTTTATTCATGAGGTTAAGATCTTTTCTCACTTGTAATTTTACTTCTATAAATTACTGTTTCATATCCTTCATATATCGTCTCTTGGATTCCCTGGGGGTGTGGGGGGGTTCCATTTACTTGTTGGAATTCTATTTGTATTAATGATATTAAACCTTTATCACTTATGTGTTGCAAAGGTTTTCTCCCACTGTGTTCTATTGTTTGTGCTTTAAATTTGTTCATAGTATTTTTCTATACAGAAGTTTATTTTTTGCCTTTTTAAATTTTTTTTAATTGGTTCATAATTGTATAGAATAGTGGGTTTCATTGTGGCACATTCATACATGCACGTAATACAATTTGACTAATTTCAGTCCTAGAACCTTTCCTTGGCCTCCCCTCTGCCCTTCCCCTGTTTCCTTTTCTCTACTTAACTGGAGAGAAGTTTTTTTTTTTTTTTTAATACAGTAAAATATTTGCTTTTCTGGCTTATAGATTTTTGTGTCACACTTACAAAGGTGTTCCTATTATGCCAAGATTTTTTTGTTGTTAATGTTTTGTATTTTCTTCTAATACTTTAATTATTTTGGTTTTTGAAAATTTTAAGTAATCTAGAATTATACACAATTCTCATAAGAAAGCATCTTAGTTATCATAAAATCATTAGGGAAATGTCTTTATTTAATGCCCATTTTTCATGAATTTATATTTGGTTTAGTTTTGTTTTTGCAGTACAGGGGATCAACCCAGGGCCTTGAGCATGCTAAGCAAGCATTCTACTACTGAGTTATATCCATAGCCTTTTATATTTTTTTTAAATACAAAGAAATATTAAATCAGACATAAATAAGGGTCAGATTATATCCCTTCACAATTCCCAGCTGCTAAAGCATTCTGCCCTGCTATGTTAATTGTGATAGGTACTTTGACCCATAAATCTGATTTTTCCTTAAAAAAGTTTCCCTTTACTAATTTATCTTTATTTTAGTAACATTTATTTTGGCATCTGGAGTTACTTAACATTCTAAAAAAAATGTTTTTGGTGTACTGTTCTAGAAGATCTCTTGACATCTTAACATATCTTTCATTTTTTTAAAATAGTAATAATGATACATATTTTACACAATTGTTATGAAAATAAAGCAATGTACATATGTTAAAACTCCCTTGAAACTATAAAATACTATATGAATATGAGTTGCTCCTGCTGCTAATATGTTTGGGACAAAGAAGGAATCATAATTGCTCTATAATCTGCAAATAAGTTTAAATGCCATAATGTAAATTTAGGGGACCCAAAATTTCAAAGCAAGTTTTACTTGGATGGAAGTGTTTTTTTTATTTGCATTCTGATTTATTTCCAGAAATATTCTCATCTTCAGCTAGCACAACAAGAACACCCAAGGCCATACTTCAAGAGCGTGCTTTGGTGGGGCGGAATCTTCCTGATGGCTGTCGGGGAGACAGGGAACTTTGCCGCCTACGGACTTGCTCCCATTACTCTGATCGCACCATTAGGCTGTATGTCTGTTGCAGGTGGGCCATTTTTCTATATTTCAACAAATAGAAATGTTAAGATATTGGGATAATTGGGGGGGAAAAGCACAGAAGAAGAAAATCTACCCACTGTTTTCTTAGTGTGTTAACATGGAATTATGCTTCAAATTGCAGTTACCCTCTCAAGCTGATATATTAACCGTGAAGAAACTTGTGTTTTATAGCTGTCCCATTTACATTTAAAAGCCTAATCCTCAATGTCTGCATCTTGTAAGTTAATAGTAGTAATTGAAAATGTTATACTATGCTTTTAATCAATAATGGAACATGTTGGAAAAATATCAGCATTTCCAAATAAAGAACCCAAATGAGACACATTTGAAGAAACAGGTCTGCCGTTTGCATGGCCGTCCAGCTGTGTGCAGCAGCGCCATCTTCTCACTCTGGCTTCAGAACACATTTATTCACTTGCAAATGAACTCGAGGCTGAAGGGCAGATTTCTTTCTGGTCCAACTGTGATTTGAGAATGTATTTTCTGGGAAACTCTCTGTTACACCAGAAATCCACTGAAAGGCAATAAAGTTGGATATTCTGTAATTCAATTTTAGATGGCCAGTCCTTCCTGTCTCAGGTAACCCCCCTTCCTCAGGAGCCCTTCCCTGGTATCTGAACTGTGTTAAGCAGCCGAATTTTCTGCACTCTTCCCACCCTACACAGGACCTTCTCTCATTTATGTGATGCCATTTTTCGAATTAGAAAAAGGCAGCCCTTTCTCATGACAACTTTATTTCTGTCTACAAATTATTGTAATACATTAATTTTATTAAAGCAGGACCCTCTGGTGCCACCTATCAGAAAACTGTCCTTAGAAATACGTGAGTTGACAAGCTCTGGGAGGCAGGTGGTGACTCCTGGAATGCAGAGCCCCTGCACACCTCACCTGCACAGCCTGCATGGTGACACAGTGGCCTTGAGCTATGCTTCCCTCCAGCAGGGCTCTCATGCTCACAGCAGTGTCTGTCCTCACCATTCAGCGGAGATGCAGGAGACAGGAGGTTGTACCTCATTGCTTGACGTCTGCTCTCACAGTGCAGAAAATCACACAATACAGCCTGTAGAATTTGAATTTTGATAAAACAGGTATTGGATGTTCTGTTCTAAGGTGCTGAAAGAGCAAAACACTTGCTTAAAAGATTTCAATTCCTGATGAAACCCAGTGGTTAAACAGTTGTTCATTGCAAGGCACTCATGAATATTCACACTTGTGAGTACTTAGAGGTTTCTAAGCCTGTCCCTTGCGTGTTGAGTTGGATTATGTGTGCCTCTGCAAAGCGTGGCCTTACATTTAATGTTGTCTCTTTTCTGTTTATCCCCCATGACTGTGATCTGCGTTCTGCCTCAACATTTAGAGACAATTAAAAATAATGAAGTTATCAACAACCCAAAAAACTGAAGCCCATGGAATTAAGGAGTTCCATGGTAGACGTCACTCAGTATAAAATTAACTTGTCCAGGGGTGGCAAAGAAATAGAGACGGAGGAAGACTGCTGCAGGGACTGGGAGAACAAAAGGAAGACAGAAAGCACCAATGACATTTTTCAATTACTTTAAATCAGTATACTCAGAGGGACAGAACTGAAAAAGTTAAATTCTGGAAATACTTTAGGTGAAGTAGTTAAAGGTAAGAAACTAATTCTGAATGAAGCTCCACTGTGCCGGGTGCTCTGTGAGACTCATAAACTTGTTATCTTATTGGGCTGGGCCTGTAGCTCAGTGGCAGAGCACTTGCCTAGCACGTGTGAGGCACTGGGTTCAATCTTGGGCACCACATGAAAAAAATAAACAAATAAAGGCATTCTGTCTGTTTACAACTACCAAAAAACAATTTTTAAAAGACAAAAACTTGTTACCTTATTAACATGGCCAAGCTTAATAGAAGAAAGTAATAAGAAGATTGAATTTAGGATGAATTATATGAAATTAAACCCTTGGGATTTTATATGGAAAGATGAAATTAATAGCAGTTAATTCTCCTTGGCCCTAGAATAACTTCCTAAGAGAAGTAGAAACCCTGTTACTGGGCTTATATGGATTAAGGTTGGGGTGTGAACTGCACTGAGAGAATGATAGTGAGACAGACCGGTGATCAACAAGGATTCTCCATCTCTAATTTTCCCTAACATGCTAGCTGTTGCCCAAACTGAAATTCAGGATATAGAATACATGCTGTTTCATGTATTTCTTTTTCTTCTTTTTTTTTAAGAGAGAGTGAGAGAAAAATTTTTAATATTTATTTTTTAGTTTATGGTGGACACACATCTTTATTTTATTTTTATGTGGTGCTGAGGATCGAACCTAGCGTCCTGCACATGCCAGGCGAGCGCGTTACCGCTTGAGCCACCTCCCCAGCCCCTGTTTCATGTATTTCTGTGTGCTTCTCTGAAGCCCTAAGCTGAAATGTATCTGCAATCCATTAGACAGTGGTCATAGTGTAGCCAGAAAACCCTAGTGAGGCCTTTTGGAATTCCAAAGAAGTCGTGTCAAGCAAAAACTTTGGTCTCCAAGATTTTTATTAGAAACAAATGAAAGGAAACACAAACAGACCAATGAGCAAGTGACCTGTAGCATTACACAAACCTAGATGCCACAAATTCTCTGTTCTTCACAGCATGGAGCTTAGTGCCAGCCTGGATCAAGTCTCAGCATCTCCAAAACCTCCTGGATGCTTGTGATAGTGACAGTTCACATGGACGTTGGTTTTAATGCTTGAAACATGTAGAAAATATTCCTTTGCTAAATGGCTTGCTGAATTGTCTCTTCAGCACATTTGTCCAAAAACCAGCCTACATAAACTGTGGAATAAAACTCTGACGTTTTAATTTTATGTCTGCTCATACACTCTCAGCAGAAAGCATTCCTGAAGCCTAAAACTTTATTTGAAACATCTTTTCCACCCATCTTTATTTTTTGAGAATGCCACAAAATATTTCTAGAGAAATTGCTAATGATGAAGTAATGTGCTATTAAACTTATAATACAATATTAATCTTGTCAGTGGTGGTATTTTTACTTTTTTGGAGTCTTTTCAAGTTTAATCATTAGTGCATGCCAAGAAAAATGTAGAAAAGAAAGGATTATTGTTCTTAGTCCAGGTAAATTTCCTCATCTGTATTTATGTAAATTGCCTCCTAATAATGGTTATGTCTTCATTATCTTCAGTAAATGACAAAAGCATTTTTTCATCAGTGTGAGTTTCTTGACTCTTCTCTTCCTGCCAACGTGGTTGGTAGGACATCTTTTCTTTCCGTAAGCAGACATTTTTCAAACTGTCACATCCTCAGAGCTCCAAATCCTGAATCCATGGAGTACATTGTAATTGACATACTCTTCCCCCTAAAATTCTACAGTTAATGGGGAATGATAATTATAGAGCAGTACCTCCTATGGTTAGAGTTGGTGGAGCCTGTGAGCACGCTCAGTATGCCCACGTGCTTGAAGCTTGATTGTGACTGACATGAAAGTGTTTTTGTGGTTTGCTTTTAGCAGTACAATAAAGTTGCCATTATGAGTGGTCAGAAACCACAAGCCAGATATTTACATGTGAGGTTCTGTCTGTAGCATTATTATGTAAATATGTTCTTTTCATGTCATAGTTATTTTTTTAAATAAAAGAAAGGGTTTTTTGATTTGTTTAAACTATTTTGTCTTCTACTTTCCTATATTATAAACATATATCCTGGTTTCTCCTAAGATCACAGAGGTTAAGCACTAAAAGTTGGTAGAGTTTTCATTTGCAGATTAGGTCAGAGTTCACACACTGGTGGCCTCTAAACTAGAACTGGTCACTGCTGTGTGTTGTTTAGCTCAAACAATACTTTTAAAGAATATAATTTCCCATGCTTAAAAATGAGACCATGTCACACAGCCTGGATTTTTGTCTTACAGAATCAGATTTGGTGGCACTGGACTTGCCACCATCGTTTAGTTCACCAAGGCTCCACTGACCTTCTTCACCACATCCTACCAATCCTCATTGTTTTTCCTCTTTAGAGATTACCTAACTGGCCCCTGCAGGCATCTGGTTTGTTACATTTTGAAAGGGTTTTTTTCTTCCCCATGAAATCAGATAAGAATCATATTCATAATCACATCTGAGTAAAATGTAATCAATGGATATTTTAACTTTGGGTTAGATTTGTCTTTAAAAAGTGGTAACAGAGGTACTGAGAATGTAGCTGCATGGCAGAGCACTTGCCTTGGAAGCACAAGACCCCGAGTTTGATCCCCAATATACCACCAAAAAAAAAAAGGTAATAAGGGGCAAAAAGCTAAGAGAAATAAATAAAAGCAATCAAAATCACTTTAAAATAACCATGCCACAGACATTTAAATACTTCTTATAACTCTCTTCTGTGCTATTAAATTTTTAAAAATCATGGGAGGGAAAGAATTTAAGTAAAAAATGCATGTCATAATGTTACAAATTGAAAAAGCAAATGCCCATTATCTATTATTTTACAGACACAAAGTTCTAATCTAACATGTTAAAATTTGCCTTTGGGTTTTTCTGCTAAGTGAAATTTGATGCTTAAGTTCTCATTTCCTAATCCCCATTAGTAGTAATGACAGTGGAAACCCCAAAACAAGTTTATACAACCTTTCTGAACTCCTGTGCACCAGATTAATCTAGAGAGTTTTTGTTTTTTCTCTCTCTTGTGATCTACTGTGAATTTAAAGCATCTATTCTTGACCCTATTAAGCTAAATAACTTCCAGAATAACAGCTGGTCTTGGAACCTCAGAAACTGAGTGATGTCAGAGAGGAGGTAAATGAAGGGCAAATTCAGGGGTGATTCTATTTGTTGTTGTTCTAATTAGTTATACATGACAGAATGCATTTTGACACATCATACATACATGGAGTATAACTTCTCATTCTTCTGGTTGTACATGTCGTAGAGTTACACCAGTCATGTAATCATATATGCACATTCTACTATTCTCCCTAGTCCCATACCCCCTCCCCTCCCTTCACTCCC